TCTCCTTCTTCTATCCCTATTATTCTTAGGTTTGGTCTTTTCATGGTGTCCCAAATTTCCTGGACATTTTGTGTTATGACTTTTTTGTCTTTAGTGTTTTCTTTGACTGATGAATCTATTTTCTCTATTGTGTCTTTAGTGTCAGAGATACTCTGTTCCATCTCTTGCTATTGTTTATGCTTGTTTCTGTAGTTCCTGTTTGTTTAGTCAGGATTTCTATTTCCAGCATTCCCTCAGCATGTGTTTTCTTTATTGTCTCAAATTCATTTTTCAGATCTTGGAATGTTTCTTTCATCTGTTTAATTGCTTTTTCTTGGCTTTCCTTGATTTCTTCCCATTTTTTTGTTCGTTTTTTCTTCCATTTCTTTAAGGGAGTTTTTTATTTCCTCTTTAATGGAGTTTTTCATTACCTCTTTAAGGGAATTTTTTATTTCTTCTTTAAGGAAATGTTTTATTTCTTCTTTAAGGGCCTTCTTTAAGGGCCTTCTTAAAGTCGTTTTTAGGGTTGATTTCTTCTGTTTCTTCTGTCTTGGTATGTTCAGGTCTTGCAGATGTAGAATCACTAAGTTCTGATATTGCCATATAGTTCTTTATGTTGTTGCCTGTATTTTAGCACTGGCGTCTACTCATCTCTTCCTCTGCTGGGTGAAGGTGGTGTCTGTGTCTGAGAGTGCCTCCCTTGGTCTAATTTTTAGTCTTGGTTCAGTAGGAGTTCTTGGTTAAATTGGTGCTATTGGGCTGTTTCTTCAGGGGCAGCTGATCTCAACCGGTGAAGTATATACTTATGATTCTGGTGATCTGGTTTGGTGGCTGGGCAGCGCCTTCTTCTGTGTTCCCAGGTCACGTTTTGTTCATTCGTCAACTCCTCAGCTGATCTTGTTTCTTCAGACTTCAAACTGTAGGGATCTGAATCCTCTCCCAGATGGATTTCAGCTGAGCGGGGTAGTCTCACCAACACCTCTAAGTTGTTGGGTTTTGCAGGATCAGCAGCTGGGTCCTGGGTTGTCCTCAGACAAAGTGTTCAGATTCGTTCTGGTTCCGTCCCATGGAGATAGCTTCTTCCCTGGGTGTTGGGCTTAGAGGCGTCCCTGCCTCTGCTTGGTGCTGCTGCCGGACTCGTCTATCTCTGCAGGCCGCCACTGGGCCTGTATGTCCCTGTCAGCCACCGCTGCAGGGCCCATCTACCTCTGCGGGCTCCTGCCGGGCCTGTATGTCTCTGCCGGCTGCCACCGCGGGCCTACCTGCCTCTGCTTGTTGCCACTGCAGTGCCTGTCTACCTCTGTGGACCGCCGCTGGGCCTGTATGTCTCTGCTGGCCTCCGCTGGGTCTGTATGTCTTTGCTGGCTGCCGCCGGGGGCCTACCTGCCTCTGCTTGTCACTGCTGCCGGGCCCGTCTGATCTCTGTTATTCTTAATCACCACCTCTATTGGATAAGCTATATGGATGTTCTCCAGGTCCACATGCCACCAGTACTGGCATAGGAGCTGGCGGGTAGCTGAAATTCCAGAGCTTACAATAATCCATCAGCTCCACCTGTAGAGGAAGATGGCCATGATTATGACAAAGGCCACAGTTCATGTCCAGTCAGCTACCTCATGAGTACATCACTGCTTCTAGGTCTTTCTGGCCACATCTCACATCAACCAAAGCAGCCACCTAAGATCAGGAAAGAGACCTCTTACTGCAGCCTGGCATCATGTCCCCAATACATAAAGAAGGCTATTCTTTGTCTTACGTCTTGAGTTGACCTGCTGCATTTTCTCAGCAGTCTGTGTGTCAGGAGGGATTGGAGCAGCCTAGGGAGCTTTACCTCAGTTTCCCACCTCTTCTTCCCTCCCCAGGTGCTTATTCACTCCTGGAGGGCATCAGGATGTGGGAGCTGACTCCACAGGAGCTGTGCATACTGGTTATGTTGGGCTAAGGACTGTGAATATGGGGTACCAATGTCAATGAACCCCTGAACCTGGGACATAAAAAGTCACTCATCTGACATGCCACCCATGTAGAACATGGGGGCTGTAGAGCATTGCATCAGGCTAGAGTAAGACCTTCCAGCACCATCAAACAGGGGAAGAGGAGGGCTGTTGAGGTGGCTGTACAGTGAAGAGCACTGTCTTCTATTTTTCAGGACCCAGACTTGATTCCCAGAACCCACAGGATGTGTACATCTAACTGCAACTCAGGTCCCTGAAGATCCCAAGCACTCTTCTGTCCTCTTTGGGAACTGCATTCATGCAGGCAAATACCCATGCATATACAATCAAAATTAATGGGGTGGAGGGAAGCAGAGGAGATGCTGGGAAAGCAATGGGTCTATTTCTATAGGCAACAAGGATGTGGGAATGTGAAGTAAAGTTACCCAGGCTTGGTGAGTGTTTGGTCCTGTACATTCCAAAAGCCAGTGTGCAACTACTGAAGTGCTGTGGAGGGCTCCCTAACATTCCTAGAAAGAGAATCAATGGGAGGACATTTTCTTTTTCCCAAAAGCAAAACCAAGAACAGAGTCCCCAAACAGCGATGTCTCAAGGCATGCCACAGAGCTCAAGGTCTTGGGATGTTGCAGTCTGGCCTCAGATTTTATGAAAACTAAGATGAGCCTCAAGGGATAATCCATGCCTCCATGTTCTACCTGGCCCCACCAAGCCCCAAATATTCGAGCACCAAGATTCTTGAACTTTCCTAGTGAGAAATATCCATTATATCTGTCCCATGTGCTTGCTGGGAACACTCTTCTCAGTCTGGAGAGACGGCCCCAGATAGGACTGTAGGATCCTGCCCATCCTTCTGGAGTTGAACCAGTCACCTCTTGCCAACTCAAATTTTCTCTTGCATCCTTTCATTGCAGGAAGTCTAGCTGTGAGGACAGCAGCTTGTCTAGCTTGAGAGACCTCTTAACCATTTGTGGCATTTCAGGGTCTTGGGGACCTTTACCAACATCTGTCACCAAAATAGGAATCATGCTGATTTCCATCACAAGCCATTCATAGTTCCTCTAAGAACCATTGTTTGGTATGTCACCCACCCAGCGGCCGTTCTTGGGTCTTTCCATGTGATCTAGGGTCAGTCACTGAACGCCAGCACAATGACCTCTCTTCCTACTTCTTCACAATGTTTTCCCCTCTCATTCCCTCTTCCTCCCTTTTTGTTAAACACCTCGTGGCCACCTCCATC